GGCTTCTGTACACAAGGAATGAATCATCTTCAGAAAACTGAGATAAATCAGCATAAAACTCATTCTGCTCCCAGAGCCATGAGAGCAGAACAAACACAATCCACTCAGCAAAAGCCCTGACAAGTTCTGAGAAGCCAGGAAGACAGAAATGGATCCAGAGCTCCCACATGATAGGACCAAATGAAAATCCCACGTCATGTTCCTGTGTGAAACCAGGAGCCACCCAGACCAGGTGAAAACCAAGGGAAGTGCCATGGAGAAATCCAGAGGCATGGCCCATGTAGTAAAGGCAGGTGCTCATATGAAATCACTGGTGGCAGATACAGTGAAGTTCTTCCCCAAGAGGGAAGCCAATTAAGTCAAATAAGACATATTCTGTCTCCATGTGCTCTAATTTCTAAAGGTTTAACCCACTTGTTTCCTGATCTGCAGGCACGTCCAGGTATGCCCAGGCACATCCTAGCTTGTAGAATATATTCCTTTCCCTATTTAGACATGTTATTGCTTTTCTAGCCTTTTTGCAAACATTTCCTCCCTTCCTTTGTTCTCCATTGCCTTTACCAATTTAGGAAAGTTTTAAGTTTTTAGCCAATCAGGTTTAGCTTAGATTGTGCAGTCCAGCTCCAGCCAATGGAGGCTGGACACAGTAGTAGAAGCCCCATGCTTTAGAGATAAAAAGCCCTCCTCTCCTTTTGTTCAGTGTGCTCTCGTGGCAACCGGGCTTATGAGCTGCACCCTTCTACAGAAGTAAAATTGCCTTGCTGAGAACTTCTTTGTTCGAGTGTTCATTTTCTTTGCAACTCTGAACTTTTACTTCCAACAACTGGAGTCACCAAAATGAACAGACAATATTCTGTTCAAACATGAGGCATTGTTTAAAATGATCAAATATGTGAGGCATTGTTAAAAATGTTTGAACTTATCTACAAAACTGAATTTAATGATGTCAAGTGAAAGAACAAATGTGTCTTTCAGTAAGTGGATTTTGTGTTAAAACTCTGCTCCAGAACTATAATATTTATAACTTATGACATTTTTCAGAAAATGTTATAGCAGGTGAGAAGTCAGTTATTACCAACAAAAACAGCATGGCAGGATTTATTATGCCTCCGATTCAATTCATTTCAAGAAATATTGATTGAGCACTACCTTACAGCAGGCCCTGAGGAAAGCGAGTTGGGAAACACAGCAGTGAAGCAGACATGACTGGCGCCTTCTGCAGTTACCACAGCATGGTGTACAAAGGAGATAAGAGTTACAGAGTTCAGAATAAGGAAAGGTCACTTCTATCTGGAGGACAGGGCATAAATGGAAATGTTCTTATGGTGCAATTAACAATCCAATTACATCTGAGACAGCTTATTGAATATTGAGTCAGATAAATGGAGAAACGAGCCCTCTAACTGCAGGGTCTGGCCTACAGGAAACCGGGCAGGCTAAGAGGTACAAAGAGTATTTGAGAATTAGCATAGAGTCCAAGCTGGCTTGAACACAAGATCTGAGTAAAGCAGAAATGAGAAGTAAAATTGTGAGGTTAACAGATAGTTTAAGGTTTTAGACTTTCTTTTATTGTCCATAGAAATCCATAGAAGATTTTTAAATGGGGAGAAATGAGTATGGACACTGCACTTTGGAAATACCAATACAGTGCTGTGTGCAGACTCCGGGGAACTGTCATTCCTCAGGGCTTTTGGAATTGTGTTTGGCATTTTTGTTTGTCCCAATGACTGTGGAGACACTACTGATGTTCATGCAGGATGGAGGTCATAGATGTGGGACACCCTACCATGTGCAAGATTTCTGGAAAACAAAGAACTAGCCCAGCCCAAATTGCAGCAGTACCCTATTGGGAGATACTGGTAGAGAAAGAAAAGACTGCAGCTGGGAAGACAATTGCAGTAATCCAAGCAGCAGGTGGTGACCTGAGCCAGGGTGGTTGAAGTGGGAATGGAAATGAAAAGTCAAATATAAGAGATCTTGAAAAGAGAACGGAACCTTCAGGTCCTTCTTGTGATAGTAAATGTGATGGAGAAAAATGCCCAGGTTTTGAGCCTCAGGCACAGGAGCAATGGCAAGAATTTGGACTCTTACAGAAATTCAAAAATCAAAATCTGAAAATCAGACCCAAAACCCTACATCAGCATAGCCTCCTATGATTGGCCTCACCTCACATAGGAGAAACAACCCCCTACCCCATCCTCTCCTGAGATGCTGCCTCTGGTTCTTCATTGCTTTATGCAGCCCATGGCATTTAACTGGTGATGGGCCAACCAGCACTCCCTACTCTGTGTCATATTTTGTATTCACACACGGTTCCGGCCCACAAGTACTCAGCCAATGTTCCTTTAACTATATGGAGCTTTCTGCTCTTTAAAGTAAAACCACACAGGCAAGGTGGCTCACACCTGTAATCCCAGCACTTTGAAAGGCCAAGAAGGGTGAATCGCCCAAGCCCAGGAGATCCAAACCAGCCTGGGCAACATGGCAAAACCCTGTCTCTACAAAAAATACAACAATTAACTGGGTGTGGTGGTGTATGCCTATAGTTCCAGCTACTCTGGGGGCTAAGGTGGGAGGATCAGTTGAACCCAGGTGGTAGAGATTGTGGTGACCCAAGATCATGCCACTGCATTCCAACCTGGGCAACAGAGTGAGACTCTGTTTAAAATTAAATTAAATTAGATCAGATTAAATTAAATTAAAATGAATAAGAGATATAATAGTAAACACTAGCAAAGCTCTAATGGCCCCATGCTGCTAAATCTTCCTGGACTAGTCACATAGCATCTTCATTGTTTTAGAAATGTGATCTGGCCATAATGTCATTGCTTCAACAGTTAATTTATGGAAAGTATTTTAATTATAAATTCACAGGCTTCAAGCCAAAGAAAAGAATGAAATAAGCGCAGAGCAAGTGAGCGAGTGCCATGACGAGGAGTAGGAGCTGGTTGCTTTGGCTACAGAAACCTCAGGAAACCACCTGATGGAAGTCAGCTGACAAATATCTGTGAGAAGTGGAGAAATTCCATTCCCATGCCACAAGGCACCTGGAACACTTCACTTTTCTCACGTATGGAAGTCTTCATTCAACATGCCCAAGAAATGCTTTAAAAGAAGTAATAGTGATATTTGGAAATGTTTCTGTGTTCTCACTTCGAGTTCTTTTTGCTATTCGGCAGCCTTTGAAAATAAGAACTGAAACTGAAGCCCAGAAAGAATGTTTTAAAGTCAAATTTAGATGTATAATATTTAATTTCCTAATCAATTTCTCTCTAGGATTAAACTGCATATAGTGAGAAAATCTGCATTGCTATGGCTGCTATAAAATGGACAGTTCACAAACTCACACTGAAAGAAGTCTGGTGGTTTCTTCAAAGTAGCGCTACCCTATGACCCAGCAATTCCACTCCTAGGTAAGTACTCAAGTAAAATTAAAACATGTCCACACAAGAACCTGTACACAAATGTTCATAGCAGCACTTTTCATACTGGCCCAAAAATGGAAACAATCCAAATGTCTATCACCAGATGCATGGATCAGTAAAATGTGATATATCCACAGTTAATCCTCACAATTAAATATTAAGAATAAAAAGGAATGAAGTACTGATACATGCTACAGCATAGATAAACCTTGAAACATGATACTAAGTGAGAGAAGCCAATCATTTGAAAAAAAAATACAGCTGGGCATGGTGACTCATGCCTGTAATCCCAACATTTTGGAAAGCTAAGGCAGAAGGATCACTTGAAGCCAGAAGTTCAAGACCAGCCTGGTCAATATAGCAAGACCCCATCTCTACAAAAAATAAAAATAAAAAATTAGCCAGGTGTGGTGGTGCACCCCTTCAGTCCCAGCCACTCAGAAGGCTGAGGCAGGAGGACCACATAAGCCCAGGAGTTCAATGTTGCTGTGAGCTATGATTATGCCACTGCATCCCAACCTGACCATATATGGTCTCTCTTACTCTCTTTTAAAATATATCTTTTTTTTTTTTTTTTTTGAGACAGAGTCTCACTCTGTCGCCAGGCACCAAGCTGGAGTTCAGCGGTGCGAGCTTGGCTCACTGCAACCTCCATCTCCCAAGTCAAGCAATGCTTCTGCCTCAGCCTCCCAAGTAGCTGGGACTATAGGTGCACACCACCATGCCCAGCTAACTGCCATGCCCAGTTTTGTTTTTTTTCTTGTTTTTTTTTTTTTTTTTTTTTTTTTTTTTTTTTTT